AAGTATCCATACTTATCATATTTGACAGAACAAGTCTAAGAGTCTTAAATATAGTATATTATAAAATTTTTATAACCTCTATAAAGTACTGTCATTTTGCTAATAAAGAGATTTAGAACTTCTGAGGTTGCCTGAGGTCACATAATTAATTAGCAGAGGCGTGATCTGAACCCAGAGCATCTGACTTCAGCACAGGTGCTCTTAATCACTTCCCACAGAAAAATGGAGCCTGAAGAATGCTCTGTCAGTAGTTAAATTGTACGCGGCCAAGTGTGAGACTAAACTGGCAGACTTGGATATTTCTATTACTACGAGAGCAGTTTGTTTTGTCATGGATGGCCATGAGATGTCACCCAGGGGCCAGCATGACTGTCGATTCTTGAATGGAACTGAGGTATGACTGAGCCCATGGAAAGCAGTGAGATGTGTCCCACTGAGGGCAAATCCTGATGAAGCTCCAAATGAATCATGGCCTCCAGGCTCTGTTCTCCTCTAGGGCGGGGCCAGTTCCTTCACCCTGATGCTCCCAGCACCCCATGGTGCTGGGAGCTCCATGGCTCCAAAGAACATAGCTCAATGATAGAATGATAGAAACTCAGAGCAAAATGGTCATCAGTTAGGCCAATCCTTAGATCATATAAGCATTGTAACTGGTTCCACTTAAATTCATGACCACAAATATCAGGTGGGCCCTGACGTTTTCTGGCAATATGTTTGCTTTCTGATGATTTCACACTTTCTTTCAAATGTCCAGCACCCTCTGCCTACTTCTCACCCTAGGCTAATGATCTTGTGCAGCAGACCTCTGCTGGCTTTTGTTTTCCTGAGATCTGAACCTATTTGTAATCGCCCATTGTGTTGGTCTTGGTGAAAGGCAAAGAAAATAAAAGGGTCAGAGGGTCACTCTCTCATCCACCCCCAGGATTTAGGCTCATGAATATGACCTAAGATGGGCCAATCTGAAGCTTCCAACTAGGAATCTAACTTCTGAGCTAGTGAAACGAAGGCCCAGGGCTCTTTACAGCTTATTCATAGTGGTTGTCATCGCAGAGTGGTCCTGTGCCGGCAGCCCCACAGGAAGGGTTTCACCAGAATGTTCCAGTCTGTGCTAATCCTGTGGCATATAAAGATGTCTCCCCAATTTTTATTTATAATGTTTACCTTGCCACTGAGCTCCAAACTTGCATATTCAGCTGCTTACTTTATAGTTCCACTTGGACAATAGGCATCTGTGGACAATAGGCATCTCAGATATTACATGACCAAAACAAAACTTTTCATCTTTTTACAAAATTTTTTACTTCCCAAGTCTTTCCTCTCTTAGTAAATGGCACCACCATCCACCCAGTTAGTTGCTCAAATAAAAAACCTCAGTCATCCCTGATTTCTCCTTTTCCTCTTAATGTTCACATGCAATTGAACATGAATCCTGTTGACACTATATCTTCCAAGTACAGTGAGTCCTCACTTAACGTTGTCTATGGGTTCTGTGACTTTAAATGAAATGATGTATTATGAAACCAATTTTACCATATGGTAATTGATATAAATATAAGTTCCTAGGGCATCTCATCAATGTTGTGACATTGAGCACCTGCTGTATACTCTAGTCTGACTGCAAAAGTGCGAGCACCTGGACTTTTGCAATAACTTCTGTGGTAGGACCCCCAAAAATGTCTATGTCCTAATGTTACCGGCCAACCGAGCAGCACCCCCACCACTGAGAAACTTTTAAATGTTCTTTCCTATAGAAATGTTAAGTATGGAAATGTTAAGTCTCCTTTCTAGTTTCTTAGTTTCTTAGCCCCTGGCTTTGATTACTCTTCTCAGCAGTCTGTGAATCCTAGGCTAAAGATTGCTCCTAGCCTGAATCCTAGAATTCTCCTATTCCCTTGCTTCTTGATTGCTTTGTAAATCACTTTCTGAATCCTAAACAATAGAAGTCTCCCCTGCCCCTGCTTTAGATAACTACTTGAAAGCCTGTGACTTCCTAATATCCCCCAGGCCAGTAAACTAAATGCCACACCCATTCTGGGCCTGTGATTTCCTAATATCCCCCAGGCCAGTAAACTAAATGCCACACCCATTCTGGGCCCAGACAATTGACGCCACCTGAGTGACAGGCTGAATGGCTACAGGCTTCATGAGAGCTAACAGATTTATTAATTAAAATCGATTTTCCCTCATTCAGGGACCTTGGGGATACAGAGGATACCCCAACAAGATTGCCAGTCACAACCAAAGAAGCCAACATGGTCTTCCAGGTGGAGCTCGAGACCCCTTCCTCTCATCTGAGATCAGCTAGGGTGAGAGTTCCGTGAATCCTCCAATAGGCAGGGACAATGCTATGCCCCTGCCCAGCAGGAAGCAGATACAGAAGAAAAGACCTCCTGTCCCTCAGCTTCCCATAGAGATTTACTGGGGATCACGTCTCTCAAGGGGAAACCCAGGCAGGCCGTTAGAGGCAGTCATGGGGTCTCTGCATTCCTGCACATCCCACAGAATGCGGACGCCAAGGGGACATCCCCTCTACACCCAAAACTCCCCTTTGTATTATAATTACCTACCCCAGTGGGAAAACAAATGGGCACAAAATACCCAACTAGATCAGACCAGTCACTCACACCTGCGAAGTACATCTTGTCAATCACAGGTGCCAATCAAGTGGCCCCACACCAATAGGGGAACAGCCCATTCTAGAGAAAGGGGATAAAAACTCCAAGTTCAGGGAAGCCCCTTCCCTTTTTTTGGACCATCTTCCTCCCTTTTTTGAACCTTTTGAGCCTTGCCTTTGCGCATGGCCCGCTCCAAACTCTTTGGAATGTAATTTCTCTTCTCATGATGGGGCCTTGAGCCATCCTCTACTGCTCGGGCCTACTTCTGCTTCTTTGAAATGTACTATCTCTTCGAATAAACTACTTTTTCAGTTACTTTACTCCGGCACCTCGTTCAATTCTTTGCTCTAGTTGCCAAGGACCTGGACTTTGCACCGAGAAGGGCCCACTGTCCAACAACACTAATACTCAGAACGAGTGATTGTTACCTTACACATTTAAAGGACTGCAGATATGATTAAATTAAGGATTTTGAAATGGGGAGATTATCTTGGATTATCCACATGGGCCCAGTGTAGCCATAAGGTCCTTGTAAAAGGGAGGCAGGAGGATCAGAATCAGTAGTAGGAGATGTGACAATGGAACCAAGAGGTTATAATGATGTAAGGATGTGAGGAAGAGGCCACAAACTAAGGAAGGCAGGCGGCTTCTACAAGGGCAAGGCAAGGAAACAGATTTTCCTGTGAAGCTTCCAGATGGAATGCAGCCCTGCAGACACACTGATTTTATTATTTATTTATTTATTTTTTATTATTAGTTTCAGATGTACAGAACAATGCAATAGTTATCCTTTTCACCCCTCCCCCCATCCGCTGCCCTCCCACCCCAGATATCATACTTATCTATTACAATTCCATTGATTCCATTCCCATACTCTACTTCAAATCCTGTGACTATACGTATACGTAATTGTAGTTGACTACAATATTATTCAACATCAGCTTCAGAAATACAGTGCGGTGGTCAGGCCTCTACACTGTCTATGCAGTGGTCTCCTAACAAGATATGCTGATTTTAGACATCTGACCTCCAGATCTGTAAAAGCATAAATTCATGTTGTCTTAAGCCACTAAGTTTGTACTGATTTATTACAGCGGCAATAGGAAGCTACAATCCTCCAATTGGTCTCCCCACTTCCTGCCTTGTCTCTCTCCAGTGCATTCTCCACACCACAGGCAGGGGGATCTTTTAAAAATGTAAATTAGATTGTCGCTGTCCTGTTTTAAGGAGCTTCTCTTTGTATCTGGAACAAAATTGACACTTAACCATGGCGGTAGGCCCTACATGAGCTGATTACTGGCTACCTCTCCAAGCGCTCCATACTCCCTCACTCCTGTTTCCACATGCCCGCTTTACTCCCCCACCACTCCCAGTCTTGGGAAGCAGGACAACTTGTTTCCCTTTGGGGGCCTTTGTTCTAGCCATCCTTGTTGTCTGAAACGTTTTGTCCTCAAATCTTTGAATGGCTACTTCCTTTAGCTTTCAGCTCAGGGTTCTCCTCAGAGAGACTTCTCCGACCCCAGCCTAAACGAGTTCCCTTGTTGCTCTCATCTGTATCACCCTGTTTAGTCGTCTTCACAACACTCATCATTATCTGAAGCTGTACTTCTTACTAGTCTTATTGTTTATCTCCTTCTTACTTCTTTAATGCCAGTTCCAGGAAACCAGGAACTTAGTCTTGTCTCCTGCTGTATCCCCAACTCCTACCACTGTGCCTGGTACAGGCTACAAAGCTGTCAGTAAAAAAATCATTGCATGATTCGAGTGCTTGACTTCACAGAGGGCCTAGGGTTCAAGTCGACTACTAGCATAGCAGGACTTTGAACACAGGTCTCTTGTTGAATCCAGAGGTAAAACTAAGACCGGGGTCCAGTCCCTCTTGTTAGAGGCCCTTCAGGGCCACCCAGCCTGGTCAGAGAAGGGGGAGTTCGGAGAACTGCCATGGGAATAGATAATAATGACAATGATAATGAAAACAACAATAACAGCTAAGCTTATCGAGAACCTTCTATGTGCCAGGCACTGTTCTAGGTATTTAATATAAATTCACTCTTCACAAGCACACTGTGAAGTAGATACCATTATTATCCACACTTTAAGGATGAGGAAACTGTACTGTTAGATGATTTGCCCAACATACAGCTAAATACACACAACCATAGGTTTCTATCAAATTTTTCTTTGTCGCTCTCTCTCGCTCTCTCACTCCCTCCCTCCCTCTGATTGGGATGACAGGCTTTGCCAGGTGAAACCCGAGACAGCCCAAAGCCCCTCTGCGTCGTTTCTCCCTCAGGGACAGGCGGGGGCACCCCAGGGCGCAGGCGCGGGGCAGGCGGTGCGGAAAGAGGGCGGAGGCGGGGATTTGTGGACCTGAATTGAAACCTAATAGCGGAAGTCCGCGCAGCCTGGGCGGGACTTCCGGCTACCGTTGCGTGAGTCTTATGCTGACGGAGTGGAGCTGGCGGAGCCGGGATGGTGCTGTTGGAGAGCGAGCAGGTATAGTCAGAGTTGGCCGGCTGAGGGACCGATGCAGCTCGGGGAATCGCTCGGGACCTCTGTCTCCTTCTGCGGGCGGAACTGGGCCTTGACGCGGCGGGGTGGGGACTCGGGGCTGCTTCACGGGGCGGGTTTTGTTGTGTTCCAGTTCCTGACGGAGCTGACCAGGCTCTTCCAGAAGTGCCGGCTGTCGGGAAGCGTGTTCATCACCCTGAAGAAGTGTAAGCTGCTGTGGACGCGGCGAGGCTGGAAGGAAGCTGGGAGGCCGAGCGATGCCCAGGCCTGGGGGTGCCCAAAGTCTGGGAGTCATGAGCAGACCCTGCGGCGCTCCCCCGCCTTCCCTTACTTGTACATTTCAGGGCTGAGGGGACCGGAAGATCTTAGGAGCTGTGGCTGGTGCGGCCCCAAGCACTCAGCTACTTAAGCCGGTTTCGTTGACAACGGGCCCCCGCATGTTAGGGCTCTCAAACCCCACTACTGTTAGTAGGGTTTAATCTGCTTTGATATTACAATAGCCCCATCGTGGAAGTAGCAAGTCGTTTCCCGAGGTTTGGCCAAACCGTGGATAATGGTGGAGGAGGTGGTTTAACAGTACTAGGGCAGTTCAGGGGGATTAGGCTTCCTCTTCCTGGCCGACTTTTTAACTTATTAACTACCTGTTAACGCCTGTGGTCGTGTTCACCAGGATGTATTTTTCATGCAGATGATGGGCGAACCAAACCCATTCCGAGGAAAGGCTCTGTGGAGGGCTTTGAGCCCGCAGACAACAAGTGTCTGTTAAGAGCGACTGATGGGAAAAAGAAGATCAGCACTGTGGTGAGCTGGATTGCTGGCCCTGCCGTTTTGGAATGTAAAGACTTAACTGAGGATGGGGTTATATCTGAACCAGGTGTTTTAAGTAAAGGCTCTTAATTATGTAGCTCCCCAGATGTTTTGGAATCAGGGCCTCCTTTTATTACCTTAATACTAGAAAACTCAAGAGCAAAATTAAAATGAAGGCAGAAGTCAGACACTTGTTCTGCTGAAATTTTTGTGGAAATAAAATGAGCATCTTGGTCCATACTTTTAGTAGCATTGTCAGGAGCAGTTGGCATACTGTTTGATTACTTAATCCCCTTACTGTGCTGGGCCTTCAGTGAAGTTTCTTGGTACCAGATGATGCTTTTAAGATGTTGATTCCTTTACCCCTGTGGTTCACATAGTGAGTGTGTAGCTATGTTAGGCTTGGTACTTGGGAGTATAAATTTAGTCAAGAGCCCTAGTGTTCTCTTTCAAGGCGGAGATTGAATATGGCAAAGCAAGAGACTCCCTGGAATCCCAATGAATACAGGCATACCTCGTTTTATTGTGCTTTGCTTTATTGTGCTTCCCAGATGTTGCGTTTTTAAAAATATTGAAGGCAAGAGCCTCCATCAGCAAAGATTATGACACATTTATTGTGATACTCACTTTACTGTGGTGATCTGGAACTGAACCCGCAACATCTCCGAGGTATGCCTGTACGTTTTTATTCTGCTGGGGCAGAACCAGATTGTCCTCCAGTCAAATCAGTATAGGATATTCATGAGAACGTAGACCGTGATTAGTTGATGTCTTCTGTTACCCAGTTATGTAGAGAGGACTTTTATAGTAAAGCTTATGTGGTTTTTAAAAATAAAATTGGGTATCATGAAATACGAAAACCTAAGGAATCGTCAGAGGTAGAATTTCTCATTGTGGAAACTTGCAGTTTGCTTAAATAGACCTGAATTAATGGAAGGTGGGTTTAAAATAAGATGGGGAGGGAATAGTATCGCACACAAAAGAGTAATACTTAATCCTTTGACATCTCTCAGAACCCAGGGGGAAAAAGTCAATGCCATGTAAGAGATTTCAACAGGTGAGAAGCATAGTTTTTTTAGGACCCCACTTCTGCCTCTTTCCCTTGGTACAGTTCTCATGTGAAAAAAAGTCCGGAGCTACTTTGTTCTTCAGGCAGGGGAAAGTGGAGTAGAAAAATAGCCTTTAGTGTATCATGACCCCTGAAGTTGGGAAGAAATATTTTAAAGATTAAGATGTTGTCTTCTTGAGGCTTTTGTTATTATCAGGGCTGAGGCAGGAGATTTCTATATGGGTAATAGGGGTGAACTTTTTTCCTCCTCTTTTCCAGGTGAGCTCCAAAGAAGTGAATAAGTTTCAGATGGTGAGTTTCTGCTATTACCTTTCTTAGGGCAAGAGTCAGCATAATGTTGAACACTGGGTCAAAACTGATACTTAGGTTCACTGCTCCCCTATGATTTATCAGTAGTTTACAAGTAAAAGCTGCCAGGCTATGAATTTTTCAACACCGATATTGTCTTCCTTTTTAGTTTTTTAAAGCTAGATCTTGTCATCTTAGGCTTCAGATATGCTGTTCCTATTGTACAGCTGAACAAGAAGTTGCCTGCAGTTTTCCCTTTTCGTTTTTAAAAAAAAATATGCAACTCAACTGTGGGTGTTGTAGAAGCTGCTATAATGTGTTTTCCTCTTACACCATCTTCCTTAAGATACAAGTGTCCCATTGTATTACATGCTTTATCAGATAGGCTTTCTGATTTTGGCTACACTAACTCCGCTATGGAAATGGGGCAGTTGCTCCACCAATTTGTAATTCTTCCCACAAAGGTTGTTTTCTGTGTCTTTTAGGCTTATTCAAACCTATTGAGAGCTAACATGGATGGGTTGAAGAAGAGGGACAAAAAGAGCAAGAGTAAGAAGACCAAAGCAGCACAGTGAAGGCACCAGATTCCCTGCTTTTCCCCCAACTAACCACTGAATTGCTATTTTTCCTTTGGTTTTTACTTTTGACCACAAAGCTTTCTGGTTCCCCTACAATAACTATTTTCATGTGAGATTAGGGTCATTTTGGATGGGAGAAGGGATGTAATGTTTACAGGGTAGTCTTTAGAAGCCAGTTTATTTTAGGTCTGGCTAATTGGTCTGTGTTGCGTAGGGTATATTCTTAAAATCTCTGTAGCCATCTGTGTGAAGAGGAATGTATCATTAAATCTATTTATCAGCACTGACCATCTCTTATTTATTCCTTTTCCCATCCCATAGTAATAGTTTCTGGCAATAACTACTAATTCTGGAACGTGATTATGAATAGGCTTTAGCCTTCTAGGGTTATTGGAGTTGAAACCTGACAGTTTTATAAAAAGTTGTGTTAGTTCATGGGTATTCTTCTCAACTGGCTATATAATTTTATCATCATTGATCCTTTAGCAAATTTGAATGAGTTCTCATAGTCCAATGAAAGTTTGCTTAACCACTTTAGGATAAGCATATAACAGATTAAAGATTCCAAGATAATGATGATATTTGACTTCTTTACACCCTTCACTTTGGACATTTTCATGTGCTTAGTCATTAGGGTTAAGGGAAGAACAAGGCTGTTGTATTCTAGCTCCATAAAACCTTTAGTGTTAAATTTGCAATGAAAAAGCAGATACATGAAAGCATTTATATTCAAAAAGATAAATTTATATTACATCTGAAAAACTTACAAAGCTCAACTTTGTGGGACAGCTTCTTAAAATGTAAAGCTAACTTAAAATTACAATGAATGTACAACATTTTATAGTATACGTTCCTGTCTGAACAGTGTAATGACCATTGTTGAGGATTAAAATAAGATTCTGTAGTAGTCATCTCTGTAGCTATACAGGAATAGCACAGACACCCTGCAAAAGAAGGGAGAAGGTATGATCAGTAGGGGTGAAGAACAACAGTAATAAGTTATTTTTAGGACATTTAACTGTAGGAGTTTGTTTAATGAAAAACAAGATGGAAGTCTAGGCACTGAAATATTACATAAGGGTTACAGAAGCTGACTGGCAAGGGTCTGCAGCATAAAAGGTTCTATACAAGAAGACCACTGTTCACAGGCTTTGTTCTTGCCTTTTATATGGCAGGTAACATAAACAACTGGCTTCTGAAATGAGGACATAAAGCAAAGTAGTCACAGCTATCATTTACACATTTCTAGGAGTTACCTGGGTGATGAAAATAATCAGTGGCATAGCTACTCCTGGGACTGCTGTGTTTTGTTATTGACAAGACCGTGACAGTGATTCAGTCCTGAGCAAGATTTACTGATTACCAGTTGCAGTTTTAACATAACAGCTTATCAGCCTTCAAACTTTAGTACAACAATAAAATCTGTTAACTTTTAAACCCCAACTTGACTTATAACCTATGTTGAAATGGGTGATGCCAAAGTGATAACTTACTTTTTTTCTACTTTGATGTTATAAATTTCATCACAGACTAATTTCAGGTATCTTTGCTTTGGCAGGCGTGACAGCAGCTGCTTCACAGTTGTATTAAATGCTTGTTCATCAGCATCCCACTAGGAAAAAATAGATAAGACTTAACAACAGGTACTAGAGTTTATTAGCTGCGGCTTTTCTGGGTCCCTAATGAAATGCCAATGCCATTCCCTCCTTAAGTATACTGAAGAAATCATAGGGAGACAGTCGAACTGGTGGGGAGACTTCTGGCCGTCTTCCTTTGAAGCATCAATTTTCTTGACAACAGACTACCTTATTAGATCCTGACTTAACAGTGCTGCAGCCTGTGTGCTAATGTGACTTTACATTGCCAAGTATATGCTTATTGACAAGACAACAAAATAGTATGAAATGTTAATTCTAGGGAAAAGTTCATTTTTCATCTGTAATCTGTTACTAAACACTCTGGGTAGATAAAACAGTATTCTTTGATACGTTGCAAAAATCACCTACAGCTATGATTACCGTTAAACATTCTGAATAGCAAAGGTTTAACTATTCAAATTTTAAAGAAGTTCTTATAAGCGTATTTGATAAGGGTATGGACCCATGAAAAAACAAAAAAAAGGGCCAAAATTAATTTTTACAAAAAGAGCTTCCATATAGTTCTAGTTCTACAAATGAGCTTCCCTAGCTGGAGTGAAGGTTTGAGGCAGCAGAGTATGTACAGTGGTTAAGAACATGCATTCCAGTAGTCTGCCCAGCTTCAAATCCCGGCTCTGCTACTTATCAGTTGGGTCACCTTAAGTAAGATATTTAACCTCTCTACTTCCATCCTCTGTAAAATGCTTCTGTTTATCTGTAAAATGGGGGATAATAACGGTACCTCTGTCTTGGTTTGGGTTATGATTAAATTAATATTTGTAAAATGCTTAGAACAAGGCCTGCCAGAGCCTGACACTCAGTAAAAAACATTAGGTATTTGTTAAATCTCTGACATTTAAAAGAACATCACTAGAGAAGTATGATTCCTTCAAAATCTGATTCAGTAATAATATATAGGTCACATAGAAGGAACAAAGCTACCAAAGCCCTGGAACTGCCATAAAAAATACCTAATATTAAGAAAATAATGTCATTTTCTATTTTCTTGGGCAAATCAATAGCAAAACTTTAGGATTTAAAAAAAACAATGTAGAAGAGTTCATCTTGCTTACCTCTAATGATAAAAACTGTAAGATTGTCTCTTTGGGTAGATCCACCTGTCAATACATAAAAATGGACGTCATCTGTCAGAGAACGCTAGACAGCACATTATTGACTTGTGACAATGGTGTCACTGCACTGAGCAACATGAATAGGGCTGGCAGAGTCTGGGATGCTATAAAGCAGACTTAACCATGTAGTGGGAAGATCTCAGCACTGGCGAACTAATACTCTCAAATGACTCTCCAAGGATTTGACTCAGTATAGGCTTAGTGAGTCAAAGGCCTGAAACAAGAATGATTTTTTTTATTTTCACGTTCTCCCCTCTGCCCCCACTCCATCTTTCAGAGGAAGAAAGCAGGAGAAACAAACATAAAACCTTCAATTTTCTCCCCAGTTTTTTTACAGATTTAGTTTACAGGTGGTTCACATCAGTGTTAACAGGCTTGCATCCCAATACTGCTGACACAGTGAAAAAAGCCCCAACCTCTGAGGACACTATTTTGACAATATGGATAGAAGCCATCCTCAAAATAAAGCAACTTACAGCCAAAATTTCAATTTCACTGCTTTTCTGATGTAAGTTGGCAAGGGAAGTCTGAAGTCGGGTTTGCACCTAACAAGAAGAAAACATGTTAGAATTCAGAACCTGTCAAACCAAGCCATCTTTCTTGTCATTTTATGTCCTATTCCAGGAAACAATCACAGGTGACAAACCAAACCAAGCAAGGGATCCAAGTATTATCCTAGGACTTGCTCTTAATCCACCTGGGGAAGATGAGTGTGTAGCCTATTATGATTTCAGGGGAAATGAGATTTTATGGCCTATTTATAATTTGTTTAATAATCCACCTAGTTGCTTATTTCTTTGTAATTTTGAAACCATACCTAGTAAAAGCTCAATGAAACAGTGCATGTGGAAGCCAGAAGATTTTATTATCAAGCTGTTTGGCAAAAGGGGAAGGTGACAGCCATGAGAACATGGAACCGAAATCTGGTAGGTGATGCAAGCGGTGAAAAGATGTGTAAAATAAGTCTCCACCTGGCATCCTGAGAAACAGAGGAGTACTTACAAAATTGAGGTAACCTGATCTGTTGTATTTCAATCTATTCTATTTCTAAAAAACAACTGCTATCTAACATCCTCTTCCCAGTGAGGCCGGTGTGCTGGCTGTGCTCATTAGCAATGTCCAGACTGCCTTATCTACTGTCCCTTGCACTTGGAACACCCTAAGCTTTCCTCCCTGCTTGTTGCAGTTCTTCAGGGGTCACCTCCATAAAGCAAACACTGACCTGTCTCTCCCATCATGCTAACACTCATATTACATATATTTCATTCAGTATCCTGTTACTTTTATCTAATTGTCCTCCAACTATAAAATGCATATGCTTCTAAGATTATAAACTGAGGATTGGGCCATGTCCTATGTCTTTCATATTTTACCCGGCACTTAGCACAGAATCACACATATAGCAGATTACGGATGCAACGAGAAACCTGCCTCAAGTCTTGGGATAGATCTCTTCTGCTTTGTTATTTAAAGCAAAAACTAGCCCCATCTGCCATTAGAGCCAGATCAGAAAGTTTTTGTTTAGATCCGGTAATTCTGACAACAGCTGCTTTCTGGGTGGGTGCCCACAGTTGACACTGACACCTCTTTGGAGGACATAATGGGGCAGAATCCTGGCACCAGAGAGATGCTTTGTGTTGATGAAACTTTCAGAAGTCACCAAGTCTTCAGCTCCTCTGTAGCTCCCATTAGAAAGTTGTGGAAACTCTGAAGGGTACCTGAGTTTCATACCGCCGCCTGGTGCTGGCCGACAGCTTCTCTGGGGCTATCACACTCACAGTGGGAACAACTGCTGCTCCATGGATTTCAAACAGACCTGGAACAGAGTTTCAGAATTCATGGCCTTACCTTGTCCCATGTTCTGTAACACCACCAACGACGACGGTGAAGGTGATTATAGAATCCACTCTGGTGTGATTCTATGGACTAGATTCTGTCTGGGCCTTGTTTTCTCTCTCGGCAACTTCCTACACCCGCCCAGGAAGAGCCCAGAACCCCAGCACCAGCAGTTTTGATGCTTCTGTCAAGCCCACCAGCCTTCTCCTTAGGCGGGAGCGGGAGGTGACAAAGGCATAGGGATGCAATATGAGTCACCAAAACATGAACCTAAGAAAAAAATCAAACAGTATCTCCGAAGCTCTAATACATCCTTAAATTCCTCAGAGAATTTGAAATCTGATGGTAGCAGAGAGTCAATGCTAACAGAAATGAACTAAAAAGACCCAATTCTGTTAAAAGCCAAATATGTCTTCTCATGCACTTAATTGGGACATTTTTTTTTCCAGTAAGATATGATGAAATTAAAGGCATAACTATCACCACTGTTCCTTCCTGGCTTTCATGAAGACAGAATGTATAAAGTCTTTTTCCAAGGGATTTTGGAATACTTTTCTACAATCTTCTGTATGGGGAAAATTATCCACATTTAATCTATACAATAAACCAAGTCGAAGGAAGATTAAACTACTTGTAAAAATAAGACAGTAAGACAGAGACATACCAGGATCAGAAGAGTCATGAAATGCCTACTTGTTTTATTCTTTTCTAGGATGTGGGTTTCAGACCATAGGGATAAATTCCATTTGGTACAATTAATTGTATATGTGTTACCTTAAAAATATATTTTTGATGCAGCAAGGTGTTAGCCACAGTCCTAAGTGCTTAGAGCAAACACACACATAAAAGCATTATGTTTTGATTATAATTAGTAATTATACCTGAAGCATTAGAAAATGACCCCTTCAGATTTTGTACTGCAAGATTATCGGAAACTTCTCTAAAAACAAGCAAACAAAAACAATTAGAAAACAGTCAGTAAGGCAAAAGCAACACACATTACTTTTAGCTAAACTTAGAGTGAATCATTTTTTCTATTAAATATAAAAATATTTAATATTGGTTATTATTGGAGGAAAAACAAATGATTTGCACTTAATTATGCTCTTAGTCAAGAGCAATTAAGAATTATAAAGGATGTCATTTCAAATTAAATGCCTAAAGACAACATTCTAATTTATTCAGCTGGGTTTGAATTCCTGGCTAACATAAGAAGCTAATTTCAATGAAATATAATGGATGTTCTGCTATCTTCACAATACAAGGAAACAGTATCGGCAGGCCCCACCTTCATTATGGCAACAAGCTTGGCAGATCACCCACAGGAGAACATTTAGTAAATCAAGAGATGCTTTCAAAAGCTGTGAATGGATGTTCTTTCAAAGACTGTGAATTAACTTATAACCTTTACAAGACAATAGCACTATCCTGGGAAAACAGGGAAATATTCATATGGAGGAAATATTTTAAACCTTTCCCTGCTAAAACTAGATCCCATCTGGCCTTTTAAACGTCTTGATAATATTCACCTGAACTCACTATTAGTTGACTTTTTGTTTTCTCTTCTAAACCTCTCTCTTTGATTTAGATCTGTAATGGTAATAACTGTTGACTTCAAAACATTATATTCCCTCAGAAAAATCCTGGTGAATTTATGCAAGCTGGATACAGATGGGAAGGTGTAGTGCTGGGAGGGAGAAGCAAGCAAAAATGTTTATTTTACATAAGCCAGGATGTCTCAGTGTTGGTACTATTGACATTTTGGACCAGATAATTCTTTGTTGGGGCTTGGTGGGAGTCAGTCCTGTGTAATGTAGGATGTTTAGCGGCATCCCTGGTTTTCTACTAGATACCAGTAGCACCCCCAGTAGTAACAACCAAAAATGTCTGCAAACATTGCAGTAGTAACAACCAAAATGTCTGCAAACATTGCCAAATGTTCCTGGAGGGCAAAATCGATGCTGGTTGAGAACACTGATGTAAGCCAAAAAAGGTTGAGTACTGTATTTTCTGATTATGAGCCTATATACAAGAGTTACAAATATATAGAACTTAAAGAAAATTAAAATCCCTTGTAATTCCACTAACCAGAAATAACTACAGTTAAAAATGTGGCACATCATTCCAGACGTTTTTCTATGTATGGGCTGTGTGCTTTGGTTGAAAAAATTAGGATCATACCATACATCCTATTTGTGGTCATTCTTCCATGTCAATAAACTTAGCTTTACTAGAATCATCATTTTTATTTAGTTTTATTTTATTTTATTTTTTTAAGGAGGGAGCAGCTCACAGTGGTCCATATGGGGATGGAATCAGCAACCTTGGCGTTAGCACCACCCTCTAACCAACTGAGCTAACTGGTCACCCCTAGCTTCATCATGTTTAAAAGGCTGCATAGTATTTCACTGTATTTACCATAATTCAAACAATCTATCAATGAATACTGTGATATTATAAGTGAGAGATTCTCAAAGTGTGGTCCAGGGACCCCTGGAGATCTCTGAGATCCTTTCACAGGGCATCTATAAGCTCAAAACTATTTCACAGGCCTGAGTGACTCAGTTGGTTAAGAGCTCGCGCAAGAGTGCGAGCTCTGAGCAACAGCGGTTTGAGTCCCAGCCCGAGCTGAGCTGCCGCTGAGCTGCCAACAGGTGGCAGAATGGCTCAGCTAAAAAAAAAACAAACAGGGCCAGCGAGTGGCGCGATGGTTAAGAACTGGCTTGGGACACCAGAGGGCCCCGGTTCGGATCCCACATATGAGGGCCAGTGACACTGCCCTCCACAGCTA